GCAGAATGACAGCAGCCAGGTAAATGGATAGGAGATGTGCCAGCAGAATATTGTGAGTCCAAGAGATAAGATAGGTAGGTCTGGGGTTCCAGGAGATAAGGATAAGATAAGGAAAATAGAGGTAAGGTTGTAATAATACCCCCGACTAAGACTGTCGTCCCAACAGTCATTAGATGTACTCACTCCCTGAGTCAAAAGAGTGAGTAGATTCCATATTCCATCCATAGTCCTCAGTTTGTCTCCAAGCAGATATGCCCCATTCTTGTATCCAGGAGCTAGGGTCAGTTTGAGTCATAAGAGGAGACACTAAGCACTCATCTTTGAAGACGTCTTCATCCTTGTCCAATTAATAATAGTCCTGCTTGTCTGAGACTGGAAAGAATGTCAAGTTCTTGGTTGAAGAGCCAGGAGATGATATGGTTATACATCCCCCTTTGTTCTCCAAGTGTCACAAATCGTGATCCTCTACATGGTCCTCCTTGTTCTTGTAGTTATTGATGAGCTCTTCAGCATTGGTGAGGTTGCTTCTTTTGACCCAGGTGGCTTCCTCCACTGGATATCCTTTTCATTTGACCAAATACTCTATTATGGTCCTCTGGTTGCATTCTTGACTGATGATATGGTTGTGATCTTGAAGTAGTTCTTCTACTTTGTATTCTTCTTCACTGTCTACAAGCTCTGGCTCGAGTGGTGGTGGTTTCTCCTGGTTGGGAAACTCTGGGGGGACATATGGAGTTAGGTATCATTCATTGAACTTGTTATGGATCCTCCAACCTGGCAGTAGCCTCAGCTCATAGGCAGAGGGCCCTTTCTTTGAGACTATCTCAAAGGGTCCATTACATTTGTCGTCTAGCTTTTTTGCCAGTTGTGGGAGGTGTTTGATGGGAGAAAAGCCCATTGCAGAGTGTTGGTGGTTATTGTGAGCAAATGCTGCCCACTGCAGCCATTTGCTCCAATTGTCCTGCTTGTGGTTAACAAAGACTCGAAGATATTTTTCGAGCTCTTGGTTAACCTGCTCCATTTGTCCATTTGTCTGTGGGTGATAGGCTGTGGACAGATATTCATCATTGCATACAGCTCAGTGATGAATTTCGAGATGAATTGGGACCCCTGGTCAGAGATGACCTTGGAGGGGGTAACCTCAAATCCGCAAATGATCTTGTCATATAGAATTTTAGCTTACCCACTTGACAAGAGTTCCTTTGTGCATGGAATCAGCATGATGTACTTTGAGAATTGGTCTACGATGACTAGCACTGTGTTGTAGTCCTCGGATTCTGAAAATCCAGTGATCATGTTGATTGAGATATGTTCTCATGGTCAAGATGGTACAGCATTAGGATGTAGCAGAGCTGCTTTCCACTGCATGTCAGTCTTTGTCCTTTGACATGCCTCACATCCTTGTATGTAGGTTTCCATGTCCCTTCGCAGCTTGGGCCACCAGTATTCTCTCAAGACCAATTCTTTGGTCTTGTCAATACCTGGGTGCCCTGTGGAGACGTGATCATGGTAGTGGGAGATGAGTTCTCCCCATAATGCATGGTCATGAGGGACGTAGATATGTTCATTGTAGAATAGTAGGTGGTCCTTTTCGATGACCCCCTTCTCATGGTTGAGGCTTGAAGTGATCTCTCAGTCCCACTATTAGTGATTGCTTGTTGCTCTCCTGATCTTCCATGAATTTCTTCCTCCATTGGCATTATCAGGGCATGGAAGAATTCCAGTTTCAAGAGGACAATATCATCATTGTCCTTCTTGCCTTGGTTGTGGTCGGCCTTCCTATTGGACACTCCTGGTTTGTGGTTGAGCATAAAATGGTACTCTGCCAACTCAGTGACCCACTGTGCCTGTCTGCAGTTGAGTTTCTGAGGCTTGGGGAAATACTGCTGGTTTGAGTGATCCATCCAGATTTCAAAATCTTGACAGGCACCCATGAGATAATGTCACTATTCTTCCAAGGCGATCATTATTGTGAGTAGTTCCTTGTCATAAATCTCATAATTTCGTTCCATCATGGAAAGAGATTTTAACAAGAATGCGATCGGACACCATTTCCCTTCCTGTTCTTGTGACAGGACAGCACCAATGGCTCCTTCGCTGGAGTCCACCTCCACATAGAATTTGTTATTGTATCCCCAATGGACATCTAGCTTGGTGAAATACTTTGCATTCTTGAGCTTATCCATAAGGTCTGAGATAAGTGGTAAGGGGTAGTGATTCTTGATAGTCATTTCATTAAGCTTGCGGTAGTCTTGTACTGGCCACAATTTGCTATCCTTTTCCTTGACGAAGAAAAAGAGAGACACCATTGGGGACTTGGAAGGTTGGATTCGACTGGTCACCAAGTTCTCAAATGATTTTGTTTCCTTTCCCTCATTGGCCCTGGCAGCCAGTTCATTGGCTTTATGCCCTATCACCTGCACATGAAAGGCTTCCTTAAAGTCTATGATGAGGATTGTATCCCCATCTTCAACTTTGGTCTCCCACTGTTGTTCAGGATCCTTGTCTGGAAGTCAGAATGGTACCTTGCAGCAGTCACAGCGCATCAAGGTTACCGAACCTGTATTCCAGTCAATCAGTGGGTTATGCCTTTGCAACCAATCATGGCCTAGGAAGATAGGTGTCATTCCTAGGTCAACGACTGCCAACTCAATTCGTTCACTGTGGTCTTCTATCTTGAGTCAGGCCTCAGCAAATTTGGTGATGTTACTGCCCTTGTTGCAAGTACCATCTGCATGATAGACTGGAGTGGGGTGAGCCACTTTGTGCATGGTAATACCACAATCACAGGTCCACTGCTGGTCAATAGCACTTCCTGTACAGCCACTGTCAATCAGGGCTTTCACAGAGTGATGGGCCATAGTATCGAAGGTTTCCAGTTGTAGGGTGATTGTGACATTCTGTCTCTTTGCTCCATGGACATACTGGGGTGGTTTGGTAAGCTGGTTCATATGTTCCAGCTTATTGTATTCATCCAAGTAGGACTCCCCAACTTGGCTTTCCAAGTCAGTAACCAGTTGGTCATTAACCTCCATTCTTCATTGAGGATGGACCCACTGTTTGAGAAGTGATGTCTTCTCTCCTGGAGTCTTGGTGAGTCGCATAGCTTGTCAAGTCCAGGTGGCTCCGAAGGGCTTCAGCCATTGGGAGTCCTAAGGGTACTCCTCCAATGCTCGCTGCATTGGGGTCTTCCCCTCATCATTGTGCTCTGTAGGCTGCGTAACTGGTTGCCCTTTCACCTCAGTGCAGACACCCACTCAGGTTAGTTGGGACTTGGCTAGATTTTGAAGATCCCCATAAACTTTTTAAATAATTAAAGTTGTCTTCCTCATCAGTGACTTCTTCTAAATGTATACATACCTGGAAAGGGGAGTCTCTCTCCTCTGTTCAGCCCTCTTGATCCTTGTGGGCGATTGAGCTTTTTCAGCCAGTGTCCTCTGTGGTAGAGGTGGCCATTCCTCAGATTCCCTTTCTACCTGGTTCCACATGCGATGCTGGGTTGTCATCCCTGGCTTTAGAACAGTCTGTTATAGGGTCCGCTAGGCTCCACCAGCCTTCGGCCTCATCTCTAGACTCACCTGAATTCCCTGACCTCATCGTTTTTGAAGTGGTCTATCATTGAGGAACCTTGGTGCACTGGGAGGATGCCAGTTTGCTGTCATCTGGAACTCCTACCACTAAGAGTGGCTTTCCCAGAGCTGTGATCATCAAGTCACTGGCTCCCGTGTCATGACCACCTGAAGGCATGTCCTCACTCTCCTGTTTTCACACAGGAGTGCCTGTCAAACCAGTAGTACTGGGTGGTGTGCTTATGGAGTGACCTGCCAGTAGAGTACTGCCTGCATGAGGACTTGGGTTTGTTGCTCAGAGAGTGGCAGAAATCCCTGTCTACACCATTAGTTGGCAGACTTGAGGGTCCCCCTCCTGCTTTTAAGCAGGTTGGTGGTAGGTTCGAAGGGTCCTGTCAGTCCTGGGCTTCATTCCTAGTTGTACCTGGACTCTTGATGCATTGATCAAGAACCCTGTCAGGATTCTTGATGGAACAATTGAGAGTTGCTTCTGGATCCTCGATCGATTGATCGAAATCCATCTCACACTGGTACAGCTTTGAGCTGCTAGTCGGGTCTGACTCTTTTGTGTCTGACCCTCAGGGTTCATTGCCTGATGGGTGGTGGTAATCCCCTGCTACACCGTTTTGGTTACTTTTGAGTGTTCTCTTGGGAACTCCTACAGGTGCATAGTCAGCCTTAATACTTGCAGGGGGATACAGTTATTTATCAGCCAATGAAACAGCAAAATTGGATATTTACTGTAGGTTCCAATTGGTTGGGAATTTTGACTAGGTTTGAATGTAAGAATGTGTAATACTATGCAACAATGAGATACAGTAAAAAAAAGATGCTCAAAGGTGCAGGTACAAGTCTGTTTTCACAGCATTATTGTGGCATGGGTATTCTGGGCCATTTTGAGTCATTGAAACAGTCCGGCCCATGTACCCAAACCTCATTAGTCAGCTACTTGGAATCACTTGAGTGCTATAAGAAAGCAAGATCTCCTTTCCAGTCTCCCTCTGATATACAGCCTCAAAATCTTTGCAGATTTTTCTTGCACCTTTCTGAGGAGCACCAGGTAGTTTGGCAAGCTCATTCTTGTGTGCAATGACTGCCTTTTCCATTAGCTGGTCATGGCATTTGCGAGTAATCTGGCACTTTTTCAAGTTTGATTTAGCATGTCCAGGCATAGTAAAAAATTGAGCAAGAGGAGAAATAAAATTCGGAGGCAATGGGGCAATAATAGATGCATTGGACTGTCAGACTGTCCATCAAAGGCAATAGCTTGGCAGAACTGCACTTTTATTTATGCCCTAGACTCCTCAGATAATGGGCGCCTAGTCTCAAACCTGTCATACAGGTTTTTCAGAAGGTCATTAACATTATTGAGGCCTTTGTGGGTGATTACATTCAGATGGAGGACACACATTTCTGGGTCAGATTTTGAGTTCATGAGAAAATAGATATTTTTAGAACAGAAGCCTCAATTTCTTGGAATATTATCCATGTCACATATAAAGAATTACTGCAGAACATGAAGATACAATACACATCAGCAATGTAATACAAGTTAATGATGAAGGATGAAGGGAGGGAGAGCAAGAGGCTAAGTGTTTCATTGAACCATGGTGTTGCAATGACCAGTAAATAACTGTACTCACCTTGAGGTTTCTTTCCTGCACCTTGTGATTCCTTCATGGTGTGTGACAAGAGTAATATATTGTTACCAGTACTTACAGGTACAGCATAAGTGTGAATATTCATAATGTGAGGCGCACAATGATAAACCCCAGCGGATGAAGTAGAATCGCTAAGTCCTATGCTGGCATCTCTTTTATCTCCTTGACTTCTGTTGAGCTAGTGAGGTCTTTTTCCTCTATTTCTGCTAGGATGGCTCTGAGACAGGTTGCAAAAGTCAATAGTTTTTTCAGTTTGATTAACCACTTCAACTTGTCAGGCAAGCACTTATTGTCTTGCCCCAGGTGTCTGGTGTGTCTGCACTGGAAACATTGCTTTTCTCTTCTGAGATGATCAATGTTCATGGGTTCGCCTTCACCACCATAGGTGAATGCAGTGGCAACCCTCCTGCCCTTTGACAAAGAGCCCCCCACTGCTTGTTAAGCACTAACTCTAATCTGAACCAAGGCTGGTCTCTATCCTGTCACTCACATTTGGTGATTCAGTGTTAGAGAGTCATTTGGCAGATTGCAAGAAGTTAGGGCATCACTTAGATAGTGAGAGCAGGGATCTGGTAAGAGTTAGGAGTATATAACCTTAGCCGGAGCTGGGGTCTAAGGCCACAGCATAGGCTAGCTTAAGTACATGTCCAACTCATACTAATAATAGTATCTACTGGGGCATGTGCACCAAGAAGTGTGCTCTGTAGCAAATGAGGAGTGAGGACACTAGAAGAAGTGTGCTCCCAATGAATGAGAGTAAAGAGTGCATATCACCTGTATTGACATGGGACTCTATCTGAATAGATCATATCCCATAGACCACCCTCAACTGGTGGTCAACTCCTGTCCATCCACTAAGAAGTATGATGCCATCATGAGAAGCATGATGGTATATACTATGCATCGGTCATTTGGGATGTGGCAGCTGTGAACTGGGGTGATGGGAACCAGGTAAATGGGTAGGAGATGCCAGTGGAATATCATAGGTCTGAGAGATAAGATAGGTAGGTCCAGGGTTCTGGGAGATAAGGATAAGATAAGATAAGGAAAATAGAGGTAAGGTCATAATAATACCTCCTGACTAAGACTGTTGTCCCAACAGTCATTAGGCCTACTCACTCCCTGAGTCGAGGGAGTTTGTAGATTCCATATCTCATAAGTAGTCCCTGGTTTGTCCCCAAGCAGACATGCCCCATTCTTCTAGAGTGAAGCTAGGGTTGGTTTGAGTCATAAGAGGAGACATGGAATGCTTGTCTTCAAAGTTGTATTCATCAGTGTCTGATGAATAATAGCCCTGCTCATTGAAGGATAATGAATTGGTATGATTCCTGTTCAAGACTGGAAAGACTGTTGAGTTCTTGGTTGAAGAGCCAGGAGATGATATGGTTATACATCCCCCTTTGTTCTCCAAGTGTCACAAATCGTGATCCTCTACATGGTCCTCCTTGTTCTTGTAGTTATTGATGAGCTCTTCAGCATTGGTGAGGTTGCTTCTTTTGACCCAGGTGGCTTCCTCCACTGGATATCCTTTTCATTTGACCAAATACTCTATTATGGTCCTCTGGTTGCATTCTTGACTGATGATATGGTTGTGATCTTGAAGTAGTTCTTCTACTTTGTATTCTTCTTCACTGTCTACAAGCTCTGGCTCGAGTGGTGGTGGTTTCTCCTGGTTGGGAAACTCTGGGGGGACATATGGAGTTAGGTATCATTCATTGAACTTGTTATGGATCCTCCAACCTGGCAGTAGCCTCAGCTCATAGGCAGAGGGCCCTTTCTTTGAGACTATCTCAAAGGGTCCATTGCATTTGTCATCTAGCTTTTTTGCTGGTTGTGGGAGGTGAAGGTTGGTTCAGTCCAACCAGACTTTATTATCCAGTTGGTACTCCTGTGCTGGATGAGTGTGTTTGTCATAAGCCTTTCTCATGACCTCAGCAGCTTTATTCAGAGAGTGTTCCGCCTGCTTGCATACTCTCTGGAGGCTTTCAACAAAGTCAGTTACCAATGGTGTTTCTGACAGCCTCACCATGGTTGGGCAAATTTCTCCATCTCATCCAAAGATGAGTTTGATGGGGGAAAAGCCCATTGCAGAGTGTTGGCAGTTGTTGTGAGCAAATGCTGCCCACTGCAGCCACTCAATCCAGTTGTCCTGTTTGTGGTTAACAAAGACTCAAAGGTATTTTTCGAGCTCTTGGTTAACCCGCTCCATTTGTCCATCCATTTGTGGGTGATAGGCTGTCGATGGATTTCCTTGAATATTCATCATCACATATAGTTCAGTGATGAATTTCGAGACAAATTGGGGCCCTCGGTCAGAAATGACCTTAAAGAGGGTGACCCCAAATTGGCAGATAATCTTGTCATGTAGGATTTTAGCCCACCCATTCGACAAGAGTTCCTTCATGCATGGAATCAGCATGATGTATTTTGAGAATCAGTCTATGATGACTAATACCATGTCATAGCCCTTGGATTCTGGAAATCCAGTAATCATGTCAACCAAAATGTGTTCCCAGGGTCAAGATGGTACAGCATTAGGATGTAGCAGGGCTGCCTTCTGCTGCATGTCAGTCTTTGTCCTTTAACATGCCTCACATCCTCGTATGTAGGTTTCCACATCCCTTTGCAGCCTGGGCCACCAGTAATCTCTTAAGACCAACTCTTTGATTTTATCGATACCTGGGTGCCCTGCAGAGACATGATTGTGGTGGTGGGAGATGAGTTCTCCTTGTAATGCATGGTTGCAAGGGACATAGATATGTTCATTATAGAATAGTAGGTGATCTTTTTCAATGACCCCCTTCTCATGGTTGAGGCTTGAAGCAATCCCTCAGTCCCACCATTGGCAATCACTCATAGCTCTCCTGATTTTGCCATAGACTTCCTTCTCAATTGGCATTATCAGGGCTCAGAAAAACTCCGGTTTTAAGAGGACAATATCGTCATTGTCCTTCTTGCCTTGGTCATGGTCAGCCTTCCTATTGGATGCTCCTGGTTTGTGGTTGAGCATGAAATGGTACTCCGTCAACTCGTCCAGTGTGTCTGCATCAGAAACATTGCTTTTCTCTTTTGAGACAATTGATGTCCATAGGTTCGCCTTCACTGCCATAGGTGAATCCAGTGGCATCCCTTCTGCTCCTCATGCCACTCAAAGAGCCCCCCACTGCTCTGGGCTTGGAGCCAGCCATACTGCTGGGATACTTCCTGCCTTGTGCGATGTGAACTCAGTAGTTCTTGTCCATCTGCAGGACTCTGCACCTCCACTCTCAGTAGGTGGTAGGCCACATATTATCTCCAGCCATAATGATCTGCTTGCTGATGGATCCACCAGCTCTTTGCCTCTCTGTTGAACAAGTGGGCTGCAAAAGACTACTCGACTTGAGCCATACCCATGTGCTTCATTGAGTGCGAAGTACTGGGAAAAGGTCTCGAAGTAGTATTCGCAGTGGGAGAAGAATCAATCCAGGTCACTGGCCTTTCCATGGAACTTGTCAGAGACCTGTATCAATATTGGCTTCACATTTTCCCAGGGGTTTGGCTGTCCATCTGCAATTTCCCAGCCACCCGGCGGGTCAGGCAGCAAAGGGGGATTTTCAGGGCGAGGTAGTGATCGGAGATTCTGATCACTATGAGGTGATGGTGGCTGTGCTGGGGGCTGAGGTGGTATTGATGGGGATCCTCCTCCACCACCTCCATCCCCAGATCCTCCTGGACCTCTGCCACCTCCTCTGGGTGTGGCTGGTGCCAGTCCACTTATTCCCCCTGTAGGTGCTGATTGTGCAGGATCCCCACCCATACTGCAGGCATGGAAAATTCCCCCTCCTGTGGCTTTAATTCCTAGGATATTGGATGGTACCCATGCAAGGTCAGGGATTGGTATATCTGGGCCTACTATTTTTAGGGATCCCAGGTCAGAGAAGAACTCCTCCCTGTAGCATCTTCCAGGTGCTAAGGGTTGGTTGGGATATATCATATTCCAGTCGATGGCGGCGTGATACCAGGTTTCAGTATGGAGGATTTTATCCTCAATATCTGAATCTAAAGATGCAGCACTATATGCTTTTCCTTGGTTAGACATGACCCAGGTCATATCATACCGAAAGTGTCTGCTAGTCCAATCTAACATCTGTAGCCATGTTAGATCATATATTTGTTGGCCCATAAGCTCCTGTGCTTGAACCCTGGACAAACTCATCCTGCTTATCAGAGGGTTCATGGTCAGGTGGCTTATGGTAGCTCTCCTGCTGGTCGATGACCATTCCAGCTTGGATCCATGGGTCTCTCCTGGTATCATGGTCAGGTGAAAAGCCAATGACCTGATATTGGGAGAAAATTGTATATCCTGTATACCAGGCCTTGTTCCAGCTCCATATGTCTGTGGCATATCTGTAGTACTCATCCCAGATCTCCAGGACATCATCCCACTGCCAGATCCAGGGCCATAGTGCCTGGAGTGGGAGGTAGCCTCCATCATATCCATTAGGTAGGAACTCTCCTTCTGGGGCAAGGAAGGGTTCAAGCTCAAAGGAGGGTTTTGCTCCTTCATAGGCTTTACTGGCCAAGGTTCGAAGACATCGACAGATGGTACAGTTGCAGTAGGGGTAGAGGTTCCAAGAGATTGTCTGCTCAAGCTCCCTCGGGACATGGTTCGAGAGGATGATAGGGTCTGGAAAGGGTTGGTCTCTGGCAAACCAGTCAAGGATCCTGTCTCCCCAGGGAGTATCTCCTGGAAAGATGACCCACTGGTCCTTGCTAAGTGGGGATCCCGAGTAGGTGTAGTACTCTGGGAGCTCTTCATTATTACCGTCAGAGTACTTGGTGAATACAACGTCGTCAGGTCTGTCTTCGACGGTGTCACTGGTTGAGGGTTCTGAGATGTGGGCAAAACAGGGTTTGGCAAAGTTTCAGAGGTTGGCAATGGTGATGAAGTTTCAAGGAAGAACTTCGGATTCAGGTCAGGGTGAGGGAGTCATCATCCCACCATGAGGGAGGTCCTGCAATTCTGTAGGTTTCATCGGGGGTGTAGGATGGGAGAGAGGTTGAATCATGCCACTCAGGGTCTGGAGATTCATCTCCTTGATGCCC